CTTTGATTTAAGATTTAATTAAAAATCTCCTTCAAAACTCGATAACTTAATTTATCTTAATCCAACGAAATTAAACTTAAATTATAGTTTACCCAGAACTAGAATTCTAATGTAGAAGTCCAAAAATTTAATTACCAGCTTAGGGAAAAAAATCCAAAGGCACCATTTATCCAAAAATAAACGAGCCAGAGAACGCGAGGCGTTACGTATTCAATAAAGTTTTATTCAATAAATTTGTTGTTGAATTCATAGCATTCCATTGTCCAAAATCCAATAAACTAAACATCCAAGGTTATTTTCATGCAATCGGGACAGTATATATACTGGGTATATATTTGATATACTGAGTATGTAATTGATATACCGTGATATACTGGGTATATAATTGATATACCGTGATATACGAGGTATATATTTGATATACCCTTGATATACAAGTGGATAATATCCCGTGAATAACCTAAAGGGTCTATAGTATATGGATAAGGTTGTGTACCTTATCCTGACAACACTATGGATACGACCCACTTTGTAAATGTTACAGACGACTCGATGCAGGTCGTTCGTGTAGAGATATGCGAGTGGGAGTATCCTATACAATGAGTTTGTATAAGACCGGACTGCGAAATAGCCCATCTTTAGATGTAACGCCGTTGACTAACAGATTGCCATTTCATAGGATGACCAAACAACTCATTCTCAATTCTGAGTGAGTTATGAACTCCTGCCCGTAAGGGCTCGTCTTTTGATCTGTATGGGTGAGAGTGACCCAAGTTGCCGACTCAATATTCCTACCATTTTGGAGACGAGACCGAGTGGGGAGCTGGGAACATAACTTCACAAGATGGAATTCACTCCTCTTAGACTTTAGGGGAGTAGATGAGTGTTCTCTTAAATGCTGACTCTAGAACTTGAACAAGGGTCACACCCTCTCATTGGTCTGAGAGGGACTTCCGGTTATTGGTCGGACCATAACCGGGTTGTTCATTAGAGGAGAGTGGTATTTAAAGAGTAAGATGTAACTCAGGGGTAAAACGGTAATTTGACCCAACTTGAGGTACGAGCACTCGTGAAGGATTGACTTATCATTAATGGTCGTATATCCATGGACACGAAAACATTCTGCAGTGAGAAGAGTACAACTGCGGGTCTTTAGTGGAATGACCCGTAGTTAACGAATGTTGATTAACTCGGTCAATGAGTTTGATCTATTAATTTCGTATCGTTGGAACTTCTGATCTGTAGGTCCATTAGGTCCCCTTGCTAGCTCATAACGGGTAAAACAAGGATCAAGTTTTTGGAAGAATTTGAACTGTTCAAATTACTTAAGGGATTATATGTATATTGATACATTATAATATATAGTTAATTCTAAATTAAAACTATATATTATTGAGAGAAATTATTTGAATGAGATTCAAATAAAGTTAATATGAATAAGATTCATATTAAAACTATAGGTTAAAAATAATGTGCATAAGATGTACATTAGAACTATAGGTTATACGAGAGAAAATGCTATAGAATATGATTCTATTTTTATGATAAATAATTAAGTGTTAATTATATATATATATATAATTGATTAATTAATAGTTAATTAGATTAATAATTAATTAATATTAATTAATAAGATTAATTAATTATATATATATTTATTTAATTTATTATTTATATTAATTTGATTAATATTTATTAATTTAATTAATATTAAATTAAATAAATCACTCCCCTACTTAATTGCAGAGGAGTGGGGGGTTAGGGTTGACGTGGTTTAACTCCCCACGTCACTTCTCTGTTTTGTTGAAACACAAGAAGAACAGAGAATGCCCCTTTCATTTTCCAGCTCTCAATCAATACTGACTCTCTCTGAATTTCTCCCTATTCTTCCAAACAAGTTGTTCCCACAAGCACGATCCTGGTACCCAGAGGATAGTAAGGAAGATTTGGTGGTGGTGTTCGGGGGGGTGGGGGGAATCGTTGAAGAAACATTCTTCAAAGGTAAAAACTTTCCCTGTATTTTCTTCTTAACCATTTTGATTTTGTTTCCCAAATATCATGAACAAAGGTCTGCTTCCGCTCCGGGATTCACATCCCTTCAAGAAATACTTCTAGGGCGACCTTTCCGCAACTCATGGGAGATAGATTTTAAATGCTGAGAGGTTTGGTTGCCGCTATGCCCGTTCAGTGATCAGTTATCATTAATACATTGGGATCATTGGGTTTCAAACCCTTTCCACCTGTCTGGGGGAGGTCATTAGTACGAGAATTCTTTGTACTGCCAGTTGGACCTTCGGAAAAGTTGAAGTAGCCTTCTGTCCCCTCATTTTTTTTATAAAAATCAAACCTATCATAAATTGACTGTTCGTCTTTTAAAACAGATTTGAGTTGTGCGATGTCCAGTAAGTTTGAGAGGCTTCCAAAATTATCAAGAACGGAACAAGACGAATGAAAGGGTCTGCCGGAAACTCGACCATTTGCAACTCTAATAGAGAAAGACCCGAGCTTGGCATCCTTAATCTCCACTGAAGCAGGCAAAAATCCACAAACATTAGGTTCAACTTTTATAAGGGCATCTGAAGCGTCGAGCATGTTTAAAGTGCTGGAAGATATACTCAATAATCCTCCAAAGTAACTTCCAATGGCTTCAAAGCATTCCCGATTCCAATAATACAACGACAGGTCTTTTATAGTGATCCAACCTCCGTAACCATGAACAAAATCCTTTCTGTTATGAAGCTTTGGATTCCATTTTTCTAGCATCAAATGATAATCCCAATCTTTCTCCACTTACCTGAAAACTCTAAAGAGTTCAAAATTCTATCATCCTCAAAACGCAAAATACCTTTATCAACCATGAAGGTGTTGGGTATTTTGTCCTAAAACTCATAGTTTGTAGATAGTGAACATTAATGTGAGGTTATTCAGACAAGTGTTGTTAAATGAAAGTGAATTTGTTTTTTAATAAATCCAATAAACTACGAACCCTTGGCTATTATAATGATTACTTGGACTTTATATGGAGACATAAACTGGATCAAGTTCAAGTAAATAGCCTAAACAGTCTATAGTACATGGATCAAGTTGGGTACTTTTTCCTGGAAACACTATTGAATACAGCCCGCTTTATGATTGTTACAAATGTTGTAAGGTGTCATAAACGAAGTGATCCTGATTCGTTCATGTAGAAACATGTGAGCGGGGGTGTTCTACACAATGAGATTGTGTAAGACTGACCCTGAAATAATCACTGTTACGTATTAGCACCGTTTACGGATAACACTGATTAATTTCGTTTATCGATGACCTAGATAACTTGATCTAAATCCTGAGCCATCTATGAACTCCTATTTATTCAGGATTCTCCCTTGATCTGCATAGGTGAGAGTAAGCTCATCAGCGCTGTTCAATATGTCTCCCATTTCAGGGATAAGACTAGGTAGATAGCTGGGGACATAGAATTAGCAAGACGGAATTCACTCCTACCCGATTTAGGGATAGTAGAGAGGTTGTTTCCTTAAGCGCTGATCCCGGGTCTTGAACAAGGGGCCCCATCCTCTCACTGGCCCTAGAGGAATTGGATTTAGTGATTTGATCCTAAATCAATTGTTCATTAGAGGGATAGTGGTACTTAAGGAGAAAAGATGTAACTCGGGGGTAAAACGGTTTTTTTGACCTAGTTGAAGGTTACGAACGGCCTGTGAAGGATCAACTTACCGATGACGGTTATATCGAATGGACGCAAATATATCTACAGTGAGGGGAGTGCATCTACAGGCTATAGTGGACAGTCCTGTTAGTTAACGAATGTTGATTAACTAAGCTAAAGAGTTTGACCGGTTAGTCTCGAATCGTTGGAGCCCATGATTTGTAGGTCCAACGGGTCTCCATGCTAGCTCATAAAGGATAAAATTGATGAACTAGGTGAAACAAGAATTTGAAGTGTTCAAATTCGGTTTTTAAGGGAATATTGTATTTTATATGGAGAGTATGACTTATTTAAATTAGTTTTAAATAAGTTTAAAGCATGAAAAAGAGTTGTAATTTGATTAATGTGATTAATCAAGCTTAGGTGTCAAAGACCAATTAATATGAGATATTAATTTGGCTTGGTTTTTATTTTAATAGAAAATTTATATTTTAATTTTTGTTTTTATGAAAATTAGTTTTATAAACGTTTTATATAAAAAATCAAGTAAAGTTGGATTTTTCCACTAACTAGTGGTTTTTGAAGTGTTTCTTCAAGGCAATGACACCTATCTTTTACATGCTAGTGGGGTTTGAAGTGGAAGGCATGCAAGGCTTGTCCTTGCATGCATTTGGTCTTTATATAGGTAATGAAGATCACTTGGAGAAGACTAATGCTTCCTTGCATAATTGCAGAATTTTTCCACTCAAATTTCTATTGTCTTCTCCTAGCCATTAGTGTTTTCCCTTTGCTTTCACTCAAATTTGGTCCCACAACCGTGTTCATCAACCTGATGATAGCACGGATTTGCAGTTGGTGTAACCATTGAGTTAGGAGAAAAAGTTATAGTGGAGGTCTTCAAAGGTATAAAGTTAATCACTTCATCTTTACCTTTTTCATTATATTTTCCAGCATGCTTATGTTAGTTAAATTGCTTCATTAAGTGTATTATGATCCTTAGCTTCTGTTGTGCATGTCTAAAGTTCCATCAGAAGGGATTGATAATGTAACGCCCCGCGTTCTCTGGCTAATTTACTTTAAGACTTAATTTGTCCCATTGGATTTTTCCCACTAAGTTGATAATTTAATTTTTGATTTTCTTTTATTTGAATTTCTAATCTTGGGTAAATTATATTTAGGTTTAATCTCGCTGGATTAGGTTAAGTTATGTTTCCGAACTTTTGATTAGATTTTTAATTAAATCTTAAATCCAAGGTTTTTCGATTTAACTCTTGGGTTCGAGAGCTTAAGTTAATTATTTTGTGGGTTGTTGTGAGTTTTAGTTGGGTTACTAAAGTTTAATTTTTGGTAACGTTCGAATTTAATTGTTCGAATTTAAACTCCTTGATAAAGTTTAATTGTTCGATTTAAACTCCTTGATAACGTTCGAATTTAATTGTTTCTTCTGAAGTGAAACGTTAGATCTGAATGTTACCTTTCAAAGTTAAGAAGACCATTTAGTCA